TGATGGCGTTGGAATCAGAGATTAACTCGGAATTCCATTTTTTGGATGTTTTTCTAAAGAGGAGATCTGATGGTTCTCTTCAAAAATCGATCTACAGGAAAGCAACATATCATATTTTGTAGGAGTGTTTTGTGAAGAGACAAATGTTGGAAAAGAGCCAATAAAAACCTACTTCATCATATGTAAATAAATAACAACTTATGATCAGGATTATTATCATTACAAACATATCGCCATTTGATTGGTAAACTCTTGTGTATTGTATAGCCAGAGATGAGGATCTGATTGATAAGTAAATATTTCTTCGCTCAATCTTTCTGTTTTCTAAATGTCTAAATGGGGATTTTTTTCCTATATTATCATCACACATTTTATGAGTGTATCAACTCCAACTTTTGCGGTTTTACTGTATTTTCATATTTATTTGTAATGGAGATAAATTGCAGTAAAATGTACAAAGCTAAAATCCCGTTCAGTATTATTGTTATTGTCTGGAATAAAGTGGTTGTTATTGTTATGTTACTAATTGTAGGTCAGCTAACATTACTCGACTAGGAAGGCGATGGCTTGACACAAGCACAACACGTGTTCTAACCATGTCAATCAATGCAGCTTCACAACTTCATTGATTTTCTTCCTCACTCTACACTTAACCTCAATATTAACCACCATATTAAATTACTTGACGCAATGGAGAGGGAATGCAAACATTTGTGGCTAAAGACAGCCAGCTTCTTGAATTCTTTTACCTTCTGTAGCCACATCTCATTCATGAAGAAAGAGAGGGAGAATCGCAGTGCAGTACATACTTCCTTTGATGATTGTGGGGCGTCGATTCAGACAAGTGCTGTAGAATCACCTTATATTTCAGAGGGGCAAATTACATGTTAAAAATAACAATATCTCAGCACAATTAGTTCAGCAGACTTGGCATTTTATTACTGTTTTCATCTAGAAGGAGAATATCGTCTAGGTATTGTAAGTCAATGAGCCTGTTCCCTAGTAATAAATCAATCACTGAGTCACGAAAGTAAAATACGGTCTTATCTATTATTATATCTATGATGAAATCAAACAGAAATGGGGATATTCAGAATCCTTAACGGATTCCACTACTTACCATAACTTCAGACGCCTCCATTACTTATAACACGACTGCGTGAACTCACTGTGAATGCTTCCAGTCAGCTTGCGTGTGAGCAGCTTTCGCTCCCTATAGAGTTCAGAGCTAGCTGAAATAAGTCTTCTGGTGTTCACCAGCTTGGACATAGCAGCAACAATCTCTCTGTGTTCACTGTTCCTTCGTTTCAGCTTGTCCACAACATTTGCCACTGTCTCTACAGCTTACTGGACATGATGCCTCACTTTCTCAGCATCAGTCTTACTGTCCATGTCAGGTACGCATTTAGTTACTTCTTCCCTAGATAAAGACTGTGTTCTCGTCAAGTTTCAGGCGTGGTGGCTTCATAACTGCCTGTGTTCCGTGTCTGCTCTATCGTAGATATGTACGTGCACGAAGTAGTGTGTCATTAGAGTGTATGCAGACGTTCGAGGAGGAGCGGCTGTCTTCCACCCGGCCTTTCAACAGATAGCTTATAGGAGTGATCTATTTGAGTTAGTCGTTGATCTGACGATGGAGATCGCATGGTTAGGCAATGTCTCTCCTTATTTTCGAAATTAGTATTGACCAGGAATATGACTTCCAAATGACGTAATCACTCGGAACCACCAGTAACTTCGAATAACCTAGAAAGACATCATGAATAAGTTATTCCATTTAAAGATGTTTTTCATAATTATATCATCGATTCAATTTAAGGGCTAGGGTTTTGATGCGAGTAACATGACTGATGAGATTAACGAAAATAAGACATACAATGAATAATATGATTTTCAAATAGATTTTACCAACGACCTGTTCAAACACATAGAAGTAAAAAAGCCTAAAGCAATTATAGTGATTTGTACGTACAGAGATAACCAGAATGCAGAAAACTCAGTTAATCACAGGAATACTATCAAGTGAAATAAGCATATTTGTAAGATTTCATGATGCTGCACAGTAAAGTGGATGGCGAAAGATAATCCAAATGTAATTGTGAAATGACTGGAAATATTACTGAGGAGTTTTGAAACTGTTACTGGAAAGATATAACCTCTATTAGTCAGAAGAGACAAAGTGGAGTTCCATATCGAATTAACTTATAATTTTCCCACTTATGATAATAAAAAGAAACTCCACAATACGTCGGCCTCCAGTTTCTGGTCCTCGGTGTATCCTTCTTCATTATAAGAGATGAACTGGGAACTTTTCATTACTTTGAGTTACAAAAATCGGTTGAGAATAGAGTGACGAACAAAGACTACTTACATTGAGAAGTCTTTTAAATGCTGCTAACTGGCTCCTGAAATAATCATACAGAAAATTTATCGATAATATTCAGAATACCTTCTTGCATTCCACAGAATTTTTTCTACAGGAGTTCGAGACCAAGATGAGCATGAAAGCTGTGACAAATATTCTTAGCCTTAGTACGCACAAAATGCCTTCACATCCCTTATCTTACCTTGAATCAACGGTGAATTAGCAAGTTGCCTTTTCTCCGTAATTTTCAAAACTCTCTGTTTACTAATTGTCTCATTCATTTCACGTCCTCATTATATTTGAAATTGGATCGGGTTTATCTATTCAATTCGCTGTTTGGTGCAACACAAATATCGTTATGATTACTTCACCGGGTGTTGTTCCCATGATTAGTTGAACCACCTGCATTCTTGCTGTGTCTCCTTACTGACAACCACAATTGGTTCAGACTTTTGATTTATGCATAACGGAGTAAGTTGTGGGCAAAATCTATGTAAAGCAGTATTGTTCGATCATATGCCTTGTCCTAACTTTCGTGATAGGAAATATGAATATTTTTTAGTATGAAAAGTAAATTGTACTCAGTCTAAAATTTAGAAGTGAAACTTAGATGCTTGCGATGCAAGTATTAAAAGCCATTAGTCGTATATGTAGACCCCCAATAGTAGACTGATCTACGTATTCGCCTAAAAAAACCTGTATCACAGATTTACACCTAGTGATCATGTATTCTCAAATAATAAAAATGCCACACCGTTTAATATATAAGTGAATTCTCAGCTGAAGTATATAATTCTCGCATTTGATAATATAAAAGAAGAGAATTTTAATTGCTTATGGTTATTTTAACTAAACATGTGAGAATTAGTAAGTTTTGGGTGGAGTTATGTGATACAAAAACGGTCAAGGAAATTGGTTGCTAATGTGACTAGGATAGTAACAAAAGTGATGAGTTGTTGCTAACAGTTGTCAAAAAGGAGCTATGTAGTAATATAAATAGTCTGATGATTGAGTTCTATTCAGGATACACATAGGAACAAAGTAGAGAATACGAAATTACATAAGGGTTCTAAATGAATACAAGAATTATCAGCAATTAAAGAAACAAGTAAACAAACAAGATTAAGTCATCAAAAATCAGCAAAGTTGTTACCATGATGGTAGAAGTGGTATTACGTATTACGGGCTACTGAAGAAAGACTATAACATATTACGCAGGATGTTAAAGGTTGTCACTTAACCAGCTTGTTAATATTCTGGTTAACAGGCACATGGACTCATGTGAAAAATGGGCCAAATCCATTTTATGTAACTCACACCACCCTCTTCATGCACAACTCTCCCCTTGCATCTCATCAAGTAAAACCAGAAGCCAATATAGAAAACTATATGCTCGCACTAGCAAGTACAAAAACTCAACCATACCCTACTTAGCTCGTGTTCTGTGCGATAAAGAAAGCATTAGGCGTGACACCTATAATTCATTAAATAGTCAGTAGTACAACTGGACCTCGTCTTTCCAACTCATATCATTTATAGGTACAACATTTTCTTTCTTTCTTTTCCTATTCTCTCTCTTTTTTTCCGTTATGTGCTGCTTTGTTTCTTTCTTCCGCTTACGTCAGTAAATATGACAGCACCTACTTTTCTAACACCTTCAAACACTTTTCAGCTTTGGCTTTGCTACCGACATGCCAATATGTAGTTGTCATAATGAACTGAGATTTCCTTAATCTATGTAGAATTCTATTTATTGATAATGTACTAACTGGATGCAATACTGTAGTAAAAGTGCTGAGAATTCCATTCTGTATCGCAAGTACTGTTTTGGAATGAAGCAAATTATTATTATTATTATTATTATTATTATTATTATTATGAACGCCATCCAAAACTTACTAATTCTCATTGCAACAATTCCCTTTACAAAGGTGCGTGTGATCGTATTTATATATGAATTAGAGCAAGTAATACCGTTATCCAAATGCTATGGATGTAGTGCAGATGTGACAGATCTGAATCAGTACTCCAGTGCATTCATTAATTCTCTGTCCAGATGCCCTCCCCCCGAATAAATGACCTGGTACGGCCAAGGGTGAGTAAAATTGGTCTTCCTCGTAAAAAGTAGTCCTTTAGGCACCTGTTCACAGCTTCTACCTTCTCCCCACGGTGGTGTTCCCACAAATGTGCAATGGTGAATAAGAATTTCCGGCGCTTACCATCAGGTTGATGGATATGGAGGTACACCTAGAGGAGTTAGGAAACGCTGATTCCAAACGTATGGTGTTTACTGGCTCAAGAATCCAAAAAGAACGAATGGTGTATGAACTTCTTTAGGTCACCGGTATCTGTGGGACACAATTCCTGATGCTGCTATGTTGTCCTGTGCATCAAACTAAGTCCAAGGCTAGGGGTGGGATGGTCGCTTAAGACCAGTACTTGCTTTGGTTTCAGCGTCTGGGAAATATCTCAGACTTCACAAGTTGCGAATCTCTTGGTACTCACACTGCACCAAAATTGTTTAAATATAATAATAATGTTTATGCACAACAGATCCACATTTCATCTTAGACTTCTCAGGTAATTCAGACTACAAAACTGAAGAAAGAATCAAAAACGTACTTCACTGTTTCGCTATTTACATAAATTTATTATTTCTTTTCAATCACAATAGTCATACAAAATAAGTATAAGTATTTTTTTTCTAAGATGTATTTACACTTAATGGTACAAGTTTTTCTGTATAGTGTTCAATTACTGTGTCACATAATTGATCTGCCATTTCTAAACTAACTCCATTCATTTCTGATTTCCACGATGAACTTTCCACCCGACGTACATCCCGAAGTAAGTAGCTATAGACAAAGGCAAAAGAATGAAATATTACCTCTTAACATGAGTGTTTTTATAAACAGCGTTTTTGTCACTAAACAAATAGTAGTGTAGTTTGAGAATTAAAGACAAATAAACAAACAACTAGTCGCCATATTTTGCATTCTATACATTACACGTATTGCATTATTCTACTTGTTTGCCGCTTCTCAACAGTGACATCCCATTATTTTTATATATTGTTGAAGTTTGGATAAATAAAAAATAATAATAAAATAAAGCAACAAATTTCTAGTCTCTTACCAACAAGCGTCCATCTCTTTCAATCAGCATTGACATCTATATACTCTAACTGATCAACTCGTAAAAACAAAACTAATCCTTACAAACCAAACTACAGAAAATTAATCTGACGCTCGCTAGTGACTTGCTACAGGATGAAGTTTCCTGGAGTTCTAGTGAGAAGTCGTGACCAGTGAGGTCCATCCAGATGTCACGCGTGAGGATGGATGGTCCCACCAACGACAATGGTTGGGGTCGCGCTAAATCACGAATTGGTAGAAGTTAGAATTCATGAGCCATTGAATCGGGTCCCAGTGGCTGAATGCTATACGAGCTTGCTTTGTAACCGGAAGCTCCTGGGTTAGAACCCCAGTGGGTGCGTACTACCAGTACTCCCTGGTTTTCAATGGTTCTCTACCTGATCCGTGATCCGTGATCAACTCGTAAAAATTAGAGACTGGTTATCCCCTTGATGGAATTCAACTCTCTTGCTTTAAAAAAAAGCGGCGGAAAATCAACTAATTTGAGAGTAGTCGTCATCACTAACATCATAAAACCATTGGAAATCAGGTAACGTTGAACTTTAAAATTACCCTTATACAATTATTAAACAAAATATCAGTCTAAGTCGCCTTCAAAGAATGCTTAATCTGGAGACACCTCAATAACTAATTTTAAGTAAAACGCAGAAATCATCCAGTTAGTTAATTGATTATATTATACATCATGAATTAAAAGTCAGTCTGAACGAAGAATATTCTTCCCAGTGAATTCTCTTCAGGTTCTTACAATTGTAGAATATAATACTTAAGTGTTGCTTTGCAGGAATTCGATTGGTTGCAAATTTGCTTACGAGTTGACATCAGTTAGAAAACCATTGGAAAACCTGGGAGTACTGGACAGCCACTTTGTCCTGCTTTGTGACTCTTCACCAGTACGCGTACCCACCGGGGTTCGGCACTACAATAGCCGTTTATGCGGTGGATACATATTTACGCAGAATAACAGATTAGTTATAGGGTGACAAAATAAAAAGTACTTGTGTGACAACGTGCTGGGCTGAACGTAATTAGAAAACATTGTGAAATGCGAGACGATGATGAAGTAAAATTTACTAGTTCAAGGCTGTAAAAAGTATCCGATGACTGGTTAGTACTAGACGGCAGTGAATAGTTCATACTATTGGACTAGTGAATTTTACTTCCCTGCATTGTATGAATTCTATTATAACTAATCATTGTATTGCGTTTCATAATATTCTCTAACTGCATTGAGCCCAGCACCTTTGTTACACAAATACTATTTATCTTGTCACCTTATAACTAATCTGTTATTCTATGTAAAGATGCATCCATTGCATAACCGGCTATTATTGTACCGATAAAAATTATAGTTTGTATTTGTAAGAACCATGATGACAATTCATTGAAAAGAAAATTCTTCATCCACAATGACTTTTAATTTATGATATAGGAATATTTCACACTTAAATCTCATAATTATATTCCAGATTAATCAATGAAATTATACATCAGAGGAGAAGACAAAAACCAGAACAAGCGACAGATGATGTATGGGAAATACAGGTAGACATATATTCACCTGTACCTTTAGAAATCAGCCGTTTTTGATGGTTATTTATGTCTCTTTATGGTCGGGAAATTGGAGTTTTTGACCGGTGCACTGAAGATTGTACAAATTCCTAGAAATTTACTATATGAATTGAGAAGCAGTAACTCCAAAATAAGTTTGTCACATTTACGTGGTGTTGTGAAGAAACTCATTGTTTCACAGACTGCAATACAGATTCGTCACAAACCGATATCAGTCGGATAGGCCGCTATAAGCTGAAGCACTTGATATTATTTGAACTTAATTACATGCGTAAGATGTTTCATGTACCAGGCTAAGAGGCGGACCTATTGTGTGAGGGCTGATTATATTACGCAGTTAGCCAAACTGAAGTAGTTGGAACGGGACCTATAATCCGTTGTTTGCAAACTGGCCTCTTAAGCCGACGACCCACATATCTAGTGGACACGTGTTTTGCAATGCATTACACACTTGTGCTCCCATGCGAAAACGACTCCACAGTTGTTGAGTCATGCAGTAGTTGGGGCTGAAATAGAATAACCCTTATTTTCCTTATGGTTCAGATTGGCACGATAGTGTGTGGCCAATATCCCAAATATTACCAGTGAGTAACCCGCTGCGTACCCGACTCGACTGACCTTGGTTCTGAATGGCATTCTTAGCTTATGTAAATTTATTTAACTTTCTGCACATCCTTTAAATGAATTTCGGATTAATAAAAATGGTATAAGTAATTAAAGTTGGAATTACCTATCACTTTGACGCCATTGTATTCGTGTGTCATACACTCGTAAGAGTCCACCATCAACACGTAAAAAGAAACGCTGTAACAAGAAGAAACCGGTGGACATTGCACGAAATTTTACATTTAACATAGACATCCCATTATCACCTAATTCATCTTCATACAATGTTGTATTGACAAAAAATTTAATAGGATCTTTCCGACGTAAGTACTCCATATCTAAACCTTCAGTTGTACGAGACACACTCCAAGGTCCTACATTGTGAGGGAAAAGTGTAAAATGAACAACTCACTGATAATGAGGATAAAAACTTTAGCACCAAATTATTTATACTAAGGTAGTGTTAAATTAAAATGATCTAGTGGTTGTCATCTGAAATCTGGCATCAATAAAAACAATACCACTTGTTTTTGATTCAATTTTGATTGGAGCGAAAGGTTTGGCCTCTGATGATATAGCGGCTCCTACTACGGACGCTTCGACGATGTCTGAAGACTAACTTGAAGTAATTTAGTGGATGTTGACTAGTGATGGAACCTGGGATGAGCATTTCATCTTACTTGGGACGTCATTTGAATGGGAGTGTAGATACATGCAGATAACGAGTCACAATTAGGATGAAATGAGTGTCTTGGGTTCCACTACTAGTCGCCATCCACTAAATTAAAAACAATACAATTTTTGGCTGCTTTATGCTAATCTTAAAGATAACATTTATTTTTTCCAGCATAAAATAAACCTTACGTGAGCGACAGACAGTATTAGCCATACTGTTACATATCGATACAGACCAGTATCAATCGCCATCAACGGGAGATCTAACAGAGGTTACCTCCTACACTTATCCGCCTAGGAAGCATCGTCTCAACTACAGGCAGTCGGAACGGATGAAGATGTCAAAGCCAGCCAGTCAGAGTCGGAAAGAAAAGATACGCCCGCCTTCATCAACCTGAAACCAGTTTGGAAATCTTCTGCACTGCACTCCGCTTCAGCATAAACAAGATTCGCATTTTCAATACCAATGTCAAGTCCGTCAATTCTTCTATACGAATCAGAAACTTGCACTGCATGTGACGGAAAGGACTTCCAACAGCCAGTTGCAGACTTCCATCAACAGCTGCCTTCTCTCCATACTGAAGGTTAAATGGCCAGAAAGGATAAGCAACAAAAAACTAAGGGAACAAACCAACCAAGAGCCGATCGCTCAACAAATATGTAGGAGAAAGTGGAGATGGATCGGACATTCATTGAGGAGGCCGCCAAATGACATTGCGCCAGGCCATCACTAGAGTGGAGTCCAAATGGGAAGTGACGAGTGGGTCGTTGTTGTGGGGGTGACATGGAGATCATGTGAGAAAGAGATGAGAGAGCTTAGTCAATCTTGCATCCAGGTGAAGAGGACGGCAGAAAACAGAACAAATTGGAGATGTGTTGTTGAAGCCCTATTTTCCACTCGGAGCGCAAGGGAGTAATAATAATAATAATTGATACATACTTACTAAGTTGATAGTCAGCATTTGACAAATGTCCTGAAAATCCAGAAATTGTTGCTCAGTTCGCACAAGAGTACATCTTATCGACGGTTAGACGCTGTACAATTATGTCATTTGTTCACTTTAAGTGAGTGAGCTCATGTAAGAAAGAAGAGAACTGAGTAAGCATGCCTCCATAAAGCTAAAGGAAACACGAGGAGACGATATTCTCAACAGAGACTACTCGAAATAGAGATACTTGACAACAGACAGCAGCACAACTACATGTGTTCTAGTGTTGAGCTTCTTCCCGGTGATTTTGAAGAACTGTTCGAAACAAACTCCAAAACTTTTTTGGATATCTAACATGACAATACGTGTTGTAGTATTATTTAGCCACGAAATAACCATTTTATTAGTGTGCTAATTTTCCACTTGGTATTGCTATCCACTTATCTAAAAGGTTTTATCAGGACATAACCAACAGTTTCCTTCTAACAAAGTGGCTGGACCTGCATATCACAATGGACAAAAGAGTAGTACCAGATGATAATTATTCCTGAGAGTTTACTATACGGTTAAAACTAAGAGCAGTCTTCATAATAGTCCAGACTATTTACTTAATGGTAAGGGTCAGGGGAAGGAAGTATACTGTTGTCAAACGGTGTAACCACAATGGGATACTTCCTCAACAAGCCATCAAATATGCTGCTTTCCTACTCTGAGAAAAGTGATTAAAAAGGGTAAACCCCAAAATTTGTATATTCTGACTTATTTAACGACACCATGGAACCGGAGACAGGATACTTAGTAAGTTAGAGAAGCATATGAAATACCATAACGAAGAACTGGTCGTCTTCTACAATTGTGTTCACATAGTGACATCTTTCCGACTGGCGAATATAACAACAGCCATTGTCTCAGTCAGTGACCACATAAATCAAACCAATGGTGAACATAGGTGCACCGTGTTGCATTAAATCATAAGTGACTGAAGTTCGAGACTCCGCCTTCAGTGGCTATGAAGTCTTCGTGTATTAGTTCGTGTACTTATGTGAAAATTGTTGAATGAGTGCAGGAAACAAAGTGGTGAACTCTTTGGTACCCATCTGATAAATAAAAATGTCAAATTTGCATTCAGATTAAACACTTGTCTAAACACGGTACTGCATAAGAGCTGACTTGATTCTAGTATGTACCATACTATGAGCCAAACAGTTAGTGTGAGGGTTGATCATACTACCCAGTTGCCTAGGATAACGTAAGTGGAATGGTCCTACTGTACAACTGCGAGATGACCACAGAAGTGAGAGACCTATGCAATATTTAGGCATCCGGCCCGAAGTGCCTTAATAGCGTTATAAGTTTGGTAGAACTAATAAGTAGGTTATGTAATGGATAAGTAAAACTAACAGGCCACTGGTTAGGGTCTTCGACGAATGCCAAGCATTCATATTTGCTACTTACCTGAGTATCTCAGGCTAGCAGAAACAGAACCTGATTGGAAGAAAGTGAAGGTCAAAGAGGTCATGAAGAATTTTAGGATTGCATACACCTGGATACTTTACAGATATGCAATCTGAGTACTTGCTACAAGTTAATACCGTAATTAATCTATAAAAAGTATCCATCACAATAAACATCCCAATAATGCGGAACTTACCAGACAATGTTCCTGTATAAGGAGTGGTAAATGTCCAGTCATATGGTTTATGTGCTACTAGCTCTTCGTTGTTAGTAGATCGGGATTCTCGCCAATCCTTTGCGAAAGGTACCTTTGAGAAAGGCGTGCAGACTTGATTATAATAGTAATATTAACTTACCTCGACTGTTATGTTCTTTGGATCCACCAATTTAAGAGCATCGAGTGCATTAAAATCAATTTTACATACTTTAGTTTCTATATCTTTCGACTGACAGAAATAAATTGAGAGTGAATTTTGGTCAAATATCATCTCAGGGATGGCAGGAAGGTCCACACTCTCTTCAAACGCCTTTCTCTCTGGTCCAAGAGATTTTAAAATATGATGTTCCTTCAAAATAATTAACCAATCATCCAAACGATGTTCTGACGTCTTTACACATGTCGGTTCCATCTAACTTCTTTTAAAATGACAATGTGAAATCTATTTCGCAGGACAGTTAGTAGCAACAAAGTAGAGACCCACAATTAAAACGAATAAGTTAGTGATGAACAAATGCAGACAGAAAACTTTAGCTAAAGCCATACAGTTAAGCGCGAAGACTAACGGTAATGACCAAATATTCTAAAGCACTGAAATAGTATTAACACTTGTTTACCCAGTTTAACACAGAATACATTATTGTCGCCCTTTCTGCTAACACAATTAACGTCAAATGGAGAAACTGACATCTCCAGAAGAGATTTCCACTGGCACATTATCCGACAAAAAATGAAATTAGTTTTTGGAATATCATAGAGTATACTCCCAAACGGTTTAATTTAAAAACGAAAACCAGGTACAGTAAACTTTCTGTTAAATCGCTTGTTACAATAATATACTCACACGAAATCAAACATCAGAAAGCAGTAAAATAAAGGGAACATATCAAGACTTTGCTGCGGAGAAATTCTGGAAGTTTGGGAGCTCTCAAACCTTTATATTTAGTGGATAAGTAGAATAAGTCTAAAATAATCCTAATGGTCATAAGTAAGCAAACTTTAAGACTAAGACAACAATAATTTAACCAGGTAGTTTGAAAACGCTCATATGGAAGGCGAAATCGTAAACAGCGATGGTGACTGAATGTAATTAAATGACAATTACTACATGAGCTACTTGCAAGCCATATCAAAATGCATTATCTAATGCTATAGGTAAAGATAGGTTGTAGCAGCCACCAAACGATCTTGAGCAAACAAGTGCCTAGTATTGAAATCAGTGTGTTTCGCCTCAACGGCATTCTGTCAATCTGATTTATCTCATTTTAATGTATGGCTTGAGGTCAACAATTAGATTAGGGTTAGAAGTCGAAGATAAGCTTAAGTTTGTTTAAGCGTTATAGTCCGGGTTTCCCAAGCTTACTATAATTCTAAACTAATTCTTGACCATTCGTTGATAATACCGTTTTATGGTAAATGAGTGTTTTGTCTAATTTAAATGAATCTATTATATACTGAAGTATCTCTGGCAGTGCTTAAAATTAGCACGCTTAAGTAACTTGACAAGTCCTGAAAAAGAAGAGTATATGGTGGTCAAACCTGAATCGCCAGTAGTTATCAACAGACGAATGACTTCGAACGTACCAACGATAAGAGAGCGACTTTAACGTATAAATTACATATAGTTATGAAGATAATAAATTAAAAGGCATGGAACTGTTACACAAGATACATTTCTTTGGCATGTGACAAAAATGTCACTTAGTTTTGTACTGCAGTGTCCCCAGCATAATTTAACCACACTCCATGCACGAACTTACCTTGGTCTTATAACCTTAGTAATAAACTTTATCAATCCCTAGAGGGCACGCAGTAAAATGAATCAAGCGCTATACAACATTGAACTACGTTCGTGAATCTCATTGGATAATTGGACGTCGTTCGCTGATTGGTAGTTACTGGTGTCTAAAGTTTAACTTGGCCCGACTAGTATTTCTATCATTGGTCAGCTTGACATTATATTCGGAATCTCAGTTGCGGCACTTTCAAGGCTGAACTTGTCCGGCACGTTCAGGGTCATTGGGGGAGTGAGACACTTGAAAGTTATTTTCGTCCATGTTAGTCAGCCATGTTGTAATGCAGTTCCCTAGCCGTTCGTTTACATATTGGTTTTTACGTTTATCCTGCAGTTATTCACAACTTATCTTGATGCATATTGTTCAAAAATGTTGCATTTCGCCTCAATTTTGTTTCCGTTGCTGTTAAAATTAGTTGTTTCGTTGGATTTTAAAGTTCTTACCACCAGGTCAGTTCATTCCTTTCATTCTAATTGTTTCATGCTTGGTTTCAGTGTTCTTGTTGTTTTTTCAGCTATCAATGAATTGGTACTGTGTAGAAGTTTTGGAAATTATGCACATGAACATCCAACATCGTTTTTACGAGCTAGTATAAACCAGTTTGATTTCTTTGTGCTCGCCTCTTGATTGCGAGGTATAGGTTCCTGATCTTTGGCAAACTTCTGCGTAGCTCGTCCCGCCACTCGACTGTCGTAGCTTCAGTTGATTCCAAAAGTAGTTGTGCTGGGATTAATTATATGTGGTTTGTAGTATCAGGTGTGTTAAGACTGTTACTACTGTGAATGGAGTTGATCATATCCCTAGTTAGTCCTCCGGTATCGTCGTCAAAAAAAAGAGTTAATAGTAATAACAGATATAATTAGTGAAGTTATTCAGACTAACAGACAGAAAAATAAATAAAGAAAACGTAACAACAGTCAGCTGATTAAATTTGAAGAATAATATGAACAATATATATATCCTTTATATATACTTAGACATAATGAGTCACCTTTCCGCTATGACAACCTGGGAAACGGAGGTATACCATCAAACCTCCCCAGAAAAATGCCTGTAACAGTACGCAGTTGAAAAAAATAAATAAATAAAAATACAGTATAAAAATATCAAAACAAAAATGATTATAAATAAATGATGTAAAAAAAGATAAAAATGAACCAAACACAACTTAGAAGCATGCATCGCACCCAGGCACCAGCGTCATTTCTTCTTATATTCCGTCTTACTCCACTAATCACGTTAATAGTGCCTCTAAATTGCCTTAACTTTTTCTTCTTTCCTTCCGTAATTTTTTTTATTACTATCTTCAAACTTCCTCGTTCATTCACTGTTATTGTACAAAGCCTCGCTTCTTTTGTATACCGAAGCTTGCTGGTTTCCCACCAACCTTCTAAGGAGGGGGATAACCTGCAGTGTACATTGAACATTTGAACTTTTGTTTGAACTGACTCACCCACTTTTGGCACTACTTCATCTTTTGATTTGTCACTCTCATGTACATTTTTGATTCGCTCTCTCGTTGTGCTTTCATCCAGCTCACTCTCCGAGTCTACCACAGTCAAGGCAGAAGATAATTTGTATAACCTCTTGTCTTATCAAATTTCATATCTCATTTGTGTAAAATATAACTCTGTTCCAGACACCCTTGTTATCTCAAGTCTTTTTACCTTGATTCCTTTCGCCAGTACTTGCACTTTAGGAAGAGTACAGCTAAGGTTATAATGCGGTGAAGAAGTTTTGTAGGAGTGGTTATTCTGAGGTCTACATTAAGCCAAGTTCTGGTCATACATATATATATCGGCAATAATGATAACAATAATAAGTGTTGTTAAAGTTGTCAGGACAGTAGGACGGGAGAGAATGTTAAGAAGTAAAACGACGAACTTGTTTGTCTACCCCTGAATGGTGTATGGGATTTCAGGGGGATAGGCCATTTGGATGCAGTCCTTGTGTCGCTGTATGATTGTCCATCCATCGCTTAAAGGCGTCCACAGACGGTGCCATAGCTACATCTGCTGGTAAGGAATTCCAGGGACGGCAAAGACTCAGTGAAAAGGAGTGGGAGCGCACCTGGTTGCTTGCCCTCTGGTGAGCTATCCTTCTGTGATTTCCACGAGGAAGCCTATACCTACTCAATGGCAGAACATTTTTGTTTGGGTGACTCTGGTCATTTGTTATTTTGTAGGCAGTAATCAAATTCCCATAAGCTCGGTGTGTCATTAGGCCTGATTTCTGTAGCCTCTCATTTTACGGTTTGTTTTGGAGACCAACCACTCCTTTTGTTGCCTGTCTTTGGACTCTTTTCAAGAGGTTGGCGTCTCTTCTAAACAGTGGGGGTACAATGATATTATTCACTTCAAAGTGTAGTCTGACGTATGTTTTGTGCAACTTTAAAAAGAGTTCAGGATTGACTGTACCTAAGTGTCTATATGTAAAGTATATGGCTTCATATGCCCCATAAAATTTACGCTTGTGTCCATTTTTCCATTAGAACTAGACCTAAGTCACGCTCCGACGTTGCTGCACAGGGTAAAACTTCATTCTGCAGTCTACAGATGCGTAATTTCACCACTCTGCAGTTTTTCAGGTTGAAAGTCATGCCATGGGCCACCGCCCAGTCTTCCAGAAGCTTTAGATCTGCCTGCAGCCTATCTAAGTCCTTCGGACACTTTATTGCCCTACATATCTTTATGACGTCAGCGTATAGAAGAGTCAGGTAGCTTAGACGGCATGGTAGATCATTGATGAAAATCAAAAACATCAGTGGTCCTAGGTTAGAACCGTGCAACACTTCCGATGACGAGCTGTGCCAAGATGATCGAATTCGATTGACCTTAGTGAGAAATTGCCTTTCAGCTAGTTAGTCCTTTAACCATGACAGAAGTAGCTTACCTATACCTACCTGACTTATTTTGTGTAGGAGAAGGTCATGGCGAACTGTGTCAAATGCCTTCTCAAAGTCTAGGAAGACCACATGGACTGGAACATTCATATCCCAGCATGATGTCCAATCGTCCCAAGATGATAGTAGATTTAATACACAGGATCTGCATTTCCTGAAACCCTGTTGGGCTTCATGGAGTATATTAGACCTATCGAGGTTATCCTTGGTGTGATCGTCAATAATATTTTCCAGTACTTTTGATACCACTGGGGGTAGAGCTACTGGTCTATAACTAGTGGCATTTTGCCTATGCCCACTCTTGAAGATTGGAGAAAGGATGGCTCTTTTCCACTCCCTTGGCAGTTTCCCTGAATCCATCGAGTGTTGGAACAAGTTGCATAAGGGCCTACAGAGAGCTTCGGCGCACTATTTCAGAACAGATGGCCTGATGCCGTCACGACCTAGGGACTTCCCAGGTATGAGTCGCTGTAGCTTCCCTAGTATTATTGCCGGGTTTATTTGGGGAGTAGCCACTAGGTCTTCCTCCGGTGAAATAGTAGTGCCACCAATTTGGCCCGTACCGATGATACCCACATCGCTGTTTAGCTGTTTGGTGAAGGCTAAACTGAATGTTTCAGCCATCTCCAGACTAGTGAGATATTGACCGTTTGGGCCTACTAAGGCGCATGCCCCCTGGTTGGTTGGTCTTCTTTCCGACATGACACGGTACAAGTTCTTGGGGTTTGTTAGGAGTTTTTTAGCAAGCTTAGCCTGGAATGACCTCCTGTCCCTCCTGACTCTTGCATTGCACCAGTTCCTGAGTTCCAGGTATGCATCGTGGTCGATCTGACTCTTAGATACGCGCCACGTAAACCAAGCTTTCCGCTGTGCTTGCAGAATATGCTGCGTGCCTCGCTTTAACCATGATGACTTTCTTTTGGGCTGTGATGTGACTAAAAGGACGGTATCCGAGATTACTGTGTGAATAATCTTTTACCACTTACCAGCGTTCATCCACAGATAGCTCACCCCATGCTAAGGGCCAGTCTGCGTCGGACAAAAGCCTCCGCATTTCAGCATAGTCAGCCTTGCCTTAACACAGACGTGGTCGCATAACGTCCCACTGCAAGAGCTCACGGAGAACAAGATCGAAACCCATGACTGCATGGTCACTACTTCCTAGGGATGTCATGATCTGCACCTTTTCAACGAGCAGCTGGTCACTAGTTTTGATGACTTTCCACTAGGGCCCCACCTAGTGTCGTCTCCAACATTCTCAGCCAATCCCGTATTTCTAATAGTTTGCAGTAGATTTCGGCCGAATTTTCCCTAAGCACACCCCGAGCCAAGGTTCAGTGATGGACCATTGAAATCTCAAGCTATGGTGATTTGGTCATAGCCCAAGTCCCGTATCCCTGCGATGGTGCTGAGCAGTAGTTGGTTGTGCTCTGCCCCGCGGGTGGGTGAAAGCGGAGTGCGTCGGCCGAGAACATGTTTCGGTGGCAGAAGCCATTGTTTCCAGTTCATTCGTTGGTTGCCGTTATAGTTGCTGGCTCAGTTGATTACCTTATGTGTAGAAATCTGGAAAAAACAATGTCTTTCATATTCATGTTTACAGCATGCAGGAATCTACCAGTCAGTCTGGTTAGGAGAGTACGATATATATTTATTCCTGTTTGTGCAGGGACATACCAATTGTACAGGCATGGATAAGTTATCATATAAATTACACATGTTTCGATGTATGT